AATACCCAGGTTTCTTCTTCCATCTCTAATAAGTCTTCCTGACCCACCCTCCCTGACTTGAGAGTCCAAAACAATTAAGAATGGAAAAATTGAAACTGAAAAGAAAACATATAAAGTATTCCAGTTCTCGGCTCATCAGCTGTGGACTCCCCAAGGTCAAGGACCTTGCCTTCAATATCCTCTCCACCTCTTGGCTTCTTACCCATCACCTCGCTCACAATAAGGATGAGTGAAATAGCTGCAGGGGACAATAGGAGTAGAAGGCCGGACCAGGGACCTTTCTTCCTGGGGTGTGTCAGCTCCCCCTCCCTCTGTTTCTGAGATGGTGCAGGCCCTGCTGCTGGGGGTTACACGGTCCTTGTGCTCTGTGACTGTTATGTCAGAATGTATATTCCTGCACAAGAGGCTGCCTTGTGCCCATGGAACCGTGGAGCCAACTCAGCACCTCCCCAGGCACGTGCCTCGAGTCTGCAGGGTCCGGGCCCAGGGACCCCCTCCATCCCCTGATAACTGGTCCCATTTGTATTCCTGCAGATCTTAATCTTCCTAATACAGTGAGCTGGACTTATCTGCTTCGAAGTGCTCCTCCGTGGAAAGAAATAACCCGCATTTTTAATATATTTCTGCCAGTGATGCGAAGCCCACTTCCTTTGACTTCCAATCATGTTATATTTGGCTGTCCCAATGCGTAGGGCAGGATGAGATGCCTCTGGGTTACTGGCTCATTTCAGGACCTCTTACCAGAAAGCAAAACAGTGGGGCTGATGTGAAACTCCTATTTTCATATCGTCAGAAAAAATGCTGTAGTCTTGTAGCCTATCTATTCATTTAAATCTCTCTGACTGTGTCTTTACAACCTTTCCCATGGTACCCAGAGCATCCTGCCTGCAGCCTGGGCATCTCGCCTGCACCCCATCTACCTTTATTTCCTTCCTTACATCGGTGACTCCTTCCTCCTCCTCCTCTCTCCTTTCCTGTCCCCACTCATGTATTTCTCCCTCCCTGTCTCCCTCCCTCTGTCCCCCAGTCAGCAATCTGCCTTACTGGCAGCTAGCAAAGGGGATTCAAGCATTTGTAGCCTCCTGCCCTTTTCTCTGCAGTGTGGAATCAGGATTTTATGTCACAACCATAATTGCAGAGGGCAAGGAAAGCATTCCACACCGCAGTTTGCCAGGTCTCCAGGCATTTAGCAACCTAGATGTGTTCTGCTTTGCAAATCTCACCCAGTATTCAAAGCAGTTAAGGAAACAGCATCTCCACCCCCTTCTTTGGGCTTGAGGTGGGGACGAATGTCAACATCTTCTTCCTTTTCTTAGCAAAAGTGGTGTTCAAGGGTGCGGGTATTTTGCAGTAAGATCACAAGGACCCAGTGGGAAAGATAGTTTCAAGGGCCCAGATGCTTAGTGATGACCTGCCAGCAAAGCTCGCAGCTCCAGAGAAAGGGTGCCTTTTGAGATGCAAGCTCCACAAGGATCTCAACTCAAGGGGCAGGCAGTAAATGTCACTGACCAGCCAACCCCTTCACAGACCCAGGTGCACGAGAGAGTCAGAATGGGCTGAGAAAAGCACATGGAGGACAGTGTGGAAGGGGCCAATAGCACGGAAATCCTGAGACACTTAGAAACGGGGGCAGATGGGGTGCAGGCAGAATGCTCTGGGTACCTTGGGAGAAATTCTGAACACACATTCAAAAGGGACTTTAAAGAGAAGATAGGCTACAAGACTAGACTGTGTTTTCTGAGAAAACATATGAAAAAGAGAGTTTCACATCTCCCCCACAGGTTTGCTTTAAGACAGAAATGCAGAAACCAAGCCCCACCCTGCACCTACTACATCAGAATCTATATGTGATACATAAAATCTCGGAGGAATTGATGTGCCAATTAAAACCCAAGAACCACTTACTTTACAGAACAAACCTGACAAAATTCATTTTCTCACTTAATGAGGTAGTATTATCATAACAACCCTCATTTTGTGCAAAACACTCTTACTTCCTCCCTTATTTGCTGTCGCAGAACAGTCCATGAAAACAGAAGAGAGTGGAGATAAATTCCCGTGTTCCAGAAGGTGGCCTACTTGTCCAGCAGCTTCCCCCATGGAGGACCCGGGTCTGTCCCCTCACTCTGGTAGAAGACATTCACTCGGGGTCCTGTGCAAAGACCCCTGTTATCCCCGAAGGGCTCCCTCTGCTCTGTGCTGACTAGCATCACAGATTTGCCTCATCAGGGACTTTAAGCCATCTGTCTGGTATAAACTGGGCAGCCTGCTGTGGGTCTAACTCATTCTCTCCAAGAAAGGTGGGTCAGTGACCCTGCCAGTGGTTCCTGCCAGGCCCACTGCAGGTAGCTCACTCCTTGGTTAAGTACAGGGGGGTTAATTACTCGTGGCAAATACACTGCAGTACAATTTGAAAGAATGATGGAGTCTTTATAGGAGAAAGCCATCCTCTCCATCCTGCTATATTTATTCACTGCAAAAATGGCACGCTGAATCTGGAAAGTCATTATGTCTGTATGATTTCGCTGTTTGTTTGTTTTTTTTTCCTTAAAAACACTTAGGTTGGTCAATCAGCATCATTTTAATGAATGAGGCAATTTTTATCTTTGTTGTTGTTTAGTCACGACCAACTCTTTGAGACCCCATGGACTATAGACTGTCAGGCTCCTCTGTCCATGGGATTTCCAGGCAAGAATACTGGAGTGGGTTACCATTTTCTTCTCCAGGGGATCTTCTCGATCCCAGGGATGGCAAACACGGGTCTCCTGCATTGGCGGGTGGGTTCTTCACCATTGCACCACCTGGGAAGTATCTTTATTACACATCCTGAAATAAGTGGTTTCAGAGTCCCCTTTGACACTGAGACGCTGTTAAGTCTAAGAGAAACAAGGAGACGAGGGTGAGAGAATGTTGACATCCCTCCAATGACCCTGAGGAGTTAGATAGGAGCCAGCCTGGATGATTAAATGTCTGTGGGGTGGAGGGCAGTGACCAGCACCACCACCCTGGGGTCCCAGCAAACAAGACCCCACCCCGGGGCCCAGGAGGCAACTGCCCTGGAGCATCTCCCTCACAGTTTTCAAAGTTCTTGTCCAGTGCCTGGGACCAGACTTGCCTGGTAATACCATTCAGAACTGACACCCAGGTCTCAGGCTGGGAAGTGTGGGCTTGCCCCGAACCCCGCTTTCCCCTTCACCTCTGCGTCTAGTCACTCCTCATGTGGGCTCGACCAGATTCCCCAAGATCCTGAAACTCTCCCTGTGGGCTTGTCCTGGGGTCATGTCCACAGGCCCAAGTCCCAGGAGGCTGCCCTGGCCAGTAATTGCTCCTGCTGGCCAGTAATGCAGGATTTCCTTCACAAAATAGCATGAGACTGGGCTCCCAGGGCGGTGCTCACTTGGAGAGACTCAGTTTGTTTACATGTTGGCCTGAAGCCCCTCACTTTCTGCTGTTGGTCTTGGCAACCATTATCCAGATACTAAAGGCAGAGCCTAGATGGGCGTGCTGAAGTAAGGAGGGTATGGTGGCAAGAAAGGCCAGAAGAGCTGAAAAAAGTCAGTGTCCTGAGAAATGGGTAGATGGTGGGAATGCCCCAAGACTTCTATGTCAGCAGAATCAGGATGCCAAAGCACCTGCCTGGTGTCTGCCCATCACCTCCCTCAGCCCCGACATTCTCTTCCTGCCCCAAACCCACTGTGGGCCCAGACTTGGCTGATTGAGCGACCATTGGATTAGATATGCTTCTATGGGTTTGGAGAAAATTTACAACACATTTTTATCATCCTGAAAACTAATTCTGCTCTCCTGCCTGGAGCACAAGAAGGAATCAGGTATCAGGCTTATAAGAAATGCAAATGGATGTACTTTCTCCTTGGCCCTTGGGTGGGCTGAGTTTTTAAAGGAGCCTGATGCTTTGGCAGATGCAGGACAACAGAGGGGCTGTCCTCTGCACTGAGCCGCGAGAAGTGGAATGAGGAATGAGGCAGAGGCAGATCGTTGCAAGAGTGTGTCATGGTGGCTGCAAGCAATGTCAGTTTCTCAGACCCAGAATATTTGGGATCATGAATTGCAAGTTTCACAAATGCCTGGAAATAAGAGACGCAGGTTCATTCCCTGGGTTAGGAAGAACCTCTGGAGGAGGGCATGGCAACCCACTCCAGTATTCTTGCCTGAAGAATCCCATGGACAGAGGAGCCTGGTGGGCTACAGTCCATAGGGTTGCACAGCGCTGGACACGACTGAAGTGACTTAGCACGCATACAAGCAAAGCCTCCAGAGTGTCCCACAAAGCTGGGTATTAAAATTATTAAGTACCCTCACCCTAGGTTCGAGTAACCAGAGCTCTATCATTTGGGGCTTTCAGAGTTATTTTATGTTGGCAAATGTTTATTGAGCCCCTACTGCGTAGCAGTCAAGAAGGGTTTCCTCATTCATTCATTCTCCGTTTTGTCTTCCCCAGGACGTTTGAAACCAACCAACTCTTTTGTGTCTGTTTGTACCAAAATGTTAATCATTCTACAAGTCTTAGTAGTTTGTATTCTGTGTATAAAGGCATGTAGTACATGGTGAAAATGTAGTGAAAAATGAAGATGTCCATATTCACATACCCTAAACTTATTCCCACATTTAAAAATTATGTTGCTGACCATGACAATTCTCTTTCAAAATAGCAAAGCTTATTAAAGTGCTACAGTATTTCACATGTACTCTCTTAGTTAATCCTCATAATAATCATATTTTAAAAATGAATGATATGCCCTTCTTAACAAATGATCTGAAAAGTTAAAGTGACTTGGACCCAAATGTATTGACCCAAGATTCAGTCAGAGAATTTCTTCAAATACTTTGGGGCCAACAGATGTCTAGAATCTTTGAGTTGAGGTTCAAACCCTATTTTATGGATTTTCGCATTCCTTCTCCTCTAAATTCTAGATGGAACTATAGTTATGTCGCCAGTTTCACAGTTTCTCGATTGTCTCTGTCTGTTTCTTGCCTCCCAGAAGGCCAGGGCTTTGTGAGTGAGGATGAATACCTGGAAATCTCTGACATCAAACGTGACCAATCCGGGGAGTATGAGTGCAGCGCCTTGAATGACGTCGCTGCCCCTGACGTGCGGAAAGTAAAGATCACTGTCAACTGTGAGTGTACCCACTATTGGGGAGTCCCAGGGAGCAGAAGGGCATGGGGACGGGCAAGTAATGGCAAGGCCATTTTCTTAATAGATCCAAGCTGTTTCCAACAGGAAAACACTCTATGAGATCGCTGTTCCCATCACCATCTCCAGGGCCACGGGGCCTTCCTGTGACTGTCAGAGCTTTTGGCTAATTGGGAGAATTGTTAACTCTGGGTTCATTTGAAGGCTTGAAGAAGATGCGGGGGTAAATGCAGTATCTTCAAGCAAGAAGTCCTTTTCCTAAGATAGATGGTTGTTTAGCTGGAGGAGGGGGTTATACAGCAGGTGACTGTCAACTGTCCTGCCTCTCATCTGTCTTATGGCCTTGCTCCTCATCCCCCTACAGACCCCCCCTATATCTCCAAAGCCAAGAACACAGGGGTCTCCGTTGGCCAGAAGGGCACCTTGAGCTGTGAAGCCTCGGCAGTGCCCATGGCTGAATTCCAGTGGTTCAAGGAAGACACCAGGTACCTTGGAAGCAGAAATGGGGCGTGTCTGAAGCAGAGCTTGATGGGTGATGCCCCACACGGAAGAAGGGTGATGGAGTCCAGGGGGGAGATATGGCAAAACCAAACTGATGACAGCCTCCATTATAACAGAGCCTCATTTTAGAACCAACAACAAAAAGCAGAGGAAGTTGGGAAGTGGTAAATGTGGATCGACTTTGTTCCAGAATCTGAGATTGGCTGTAGACGGGGTCATCTTGAAGGACTAGGAGCCCCGGAATGCAGCCTGGGAGTGGGGGCACCTTCCCTTTCCACCCCTGATGGAGACTATGGTGCTTACGGCTGGAGGGAGAGGGACTGGGTTAGTTGGAGGGAAGGGCTTCGTGTGGAGGAGAGTTGTGTGTTGTGGGGGTGAATCCCCAGCCCCTCTTGCCTGCCCCCTCACTCCATGAGTGGAACCAGACCCCCAGTACCTCCTCTTCTTTTGCAGGCTGGCCACCGGCCTGGATGGCATGAGGATCGAGAACAAAGGTCACATATCCACGCTGACCTTCTTCAACGTCTCAGAGAAGGATTATGGGAACTATACTTGTGTGGCCACGAACAAGCTTGGGATAACCAACGCCAGCATCACACTGTATGGTGAGTGCAGGAGGCCTGGACGCGGGGCTTGGATGGGCGGGGGAGGAAGGTGAGATCTGCTGGCCTGTGTCCATCCATACTGCTCCCCACTCCACCTTAGATGCGAACACAACCCCACCACCCAACCTGGTCATTCTCTTAGCCTGTGATACTGTGGCGTTTACAAGGCAACCGATAGCTCCTGGTCTATCGTGAGGCGAGCTTTGCACCTTACAAAAGGGGTGAACCAAATTCTGAACCAAGTTGCACAGTGGTTGCCTTAAGCAAGATGGAACCATGGAAGAGTTCAATTTGCAGTACTGTCTTACTGATCTCAGGAGTTAATCAGATTTAATGCTAAGATGCCTTACAGGAAGAGTGTATGATTCTAGGGGTTCTAGTTGCAGTTGTAAACCAGGTCAACTCTGTCAGCCTGACCCTCATGTTGACTGCATGTCATGTTCTCATTCATCAGAACGAATGGAGAAAGAGGCTGGTCCTCATCGGGACATCAGCTGGGACATCCATCCCTTCTCTGAGGGTCCCCCCCTCCCATATGGGGTGAGGGGGCCCCAGAGCCCCGACTGGCCCGCTGGGAGCGCTCATCCCACCTTCCCTCCATTCTCACACTGCCGTGTCCATCTCCTCGTGTGACATTTCACCCCACCGGCCAGGCCTAGCTTGTTGTGATGGTCCGTGTGTTTATGTGCGTGTGTATTTGCTGAGATTTGGCGAGAGGGAACTGTCTGGTAGATAGGAAGGAAAGGTGTTCCTTGTTCATATGGACCTCAGCCCCCGAACAGCTTTCAGCATTGACAGGAAGGGAACTTTGTCCACCAACCATCTGAAATGTGTGATCTGTGTCTCTTGTTTTCTCTCTGCATTGTGTGTACATTGTGCTGTGTGTGTCTTAGAAATAAGCCCCTCATCAGCAGTGGCAGGTGGGTACCGCATGCTCCTTCCCTCCTCTGCCTGCCTGAATGCCTATGCTTTTGACCTGAAGCCTCCTTCCAAGATAGGCTTGCCTGCTCCTCCCCCCTGACTTCTTCTCCTTACTGGATAGACTTCGGGGGGCTGGTCTGCACACTTTAGGTAACAGACATGTAGAATACGATGGCTTTTCTTGTTGTGGTTGAGTCACTAAGTTGTGTCCTACTCTTTGTGACCCCATGGACTGTAACCCTCCAGGTTCCTCTGTTCATGGGATTTTCCAGGCAAGAATACTGGAGTGGGTTGTCATTTCCTTCTCCAGGGCATCGTCCCAACCTGCATCTCCTGGGTTGCGGGTGGATTCTTTACCAGGGAAGCCCATGATGGCTTTTACACACATACATGTGAAATATTGTTATCCGTTTCTGGAGAAGGGCTCTCTCCAAAATGATAAACTTCCACTTGGTGGCTTTTAACAGGGATGTGTATTCTATTTGTACGTGGCACTAGCGCAACCCAACCCAGACACCAAATGGCGTATTAAATGATTGTCTTCCTAGGGAAGTCACCCTAATGTTGCTTAGTCACTAAGTCGTGTCTGACTCCCTGTGACCCCATGGACTAAAGCAGGCCAGGCCTCCCTGTCCCTTGTGATAATTTCTTCAGCCCAAAGCAAAGAGGGCTAATGACTTAATTCTGAAAACTTCATTTTAAGATATGAGTTCTTGGGTCATGTTCATAATGATCATCATAATATCTACCATTTACCAAATATTAACTGGTTTCTAGGCATCATGCTAGTTCTGTGCAAGACAGGTTATTAGCCCATTTTAAACACGGGTAAGAGGAGGACCCCAGAGGCTAAGTAACACTGAAGTATATGTAGCTAGTGAAGAGGTGTTGATGAGACCCAGACCAGACCCCTCCTCAGTGCTGGAAGGTTTACCAGAGGACATGACACAAGGGCACACACACACACACACACACACACACACACTCACACACACACTCTCACACTCCCAGGCTGAGTGGAAGCCTCCACACAGCCCTCCTCATCGAGGACCAGTCTCAGCCACTGAGGACATGGTGACTTCAATTGTCCAGACCAGGAATCAGCCCTGACCTGCTCCTCTCCCAGCCCGTGGCTCTGCCCACACCGTGGTGTCTGCGAATGCCCATCCCTTGGTCTTGATGAAACTGAGGGCAAAGGGCGAGGTTGGGGTCTGCCCTGCACTGACTCTGCCATGTCCCTGTGAGCTGGTGGGGCTGCCCGTGGGGGTGTGGCCGACAGGAGGACCCCAGGACTGACCAGGAGAGGTCTGGGTGCTTGTACCCCTGGGCTGTGAACTCGGGAGAGAGCTGTGTCCCAGCCGAGGACAGCAGCTCTTGGAGATGAAGGATATATTCACCCGCCAGGGCTGCTACAATGAAAGAGTGCAGGCTGGGACAGCAGAAATGGATTTTCTCACAGTTCTGGAGGCCAGAAGGCCAAGGTCAGCCAGGAAGAGCTGTTGGCTGTACTGGATAGGAGTGCTCTTCCTGGCTTGTAGATGCCAGCTTTGTTCTCATATGTCCTTTCCTCTGAGAATGCTGGGGAGGGGGGCGTGGAGATGGCCAGAGATGGGGAGGGAGGGCTCCCTGGGGTGTCTTCTTATCATTTGAACACTAATCCTATCGATTGGGGCCCTACCATTATAACCTCATGCTAAGTCACTTCAGCCCTATATGACTCTTTGTGACCCTGTGAACTTCAGCCTGCCAGACTCCTCTGTCTTTGGGATTTCCCAAGAACTGGGTTGCCATCCCTCCTCCAGGGGATCTTCCCAACCCAGGGATCGAACCTACATTTCTTACATACCCTCCATTGGCAGACAGATTCCCTACCACCAGCACCCCCTGGGAAGCCCATTATAACCTCACTTGACCTTAAACACTTCCTTAAAGGTTCCGTCTCCAAATATACATCAGGAGTTAGGGCTCCAACATGTGAGCTTGGGGACACAGTTCAGCTCATGGGAAAGACATAGCTTCATACCCCAGGGCAGCCAGCCACACGAAGCCCAGGTCAGCAGTTAGCCTGTTTGAACTCATTTTCCATTTCCATCTCCCATCTTCTATGTAATCTGAACACATTCTTTTAGAGGACCATTTGAGCATTTACACGCCATCTGCTCACACCCGCCAAACGCACACACAGACATGCCGCATCCCCAGGCGTGCATTGGTGTCTGCCCTCAAGGACTGTGAGCTGGGTTTGTGGGGACTCTGGGCCCTGAAGTGATGTATGAATCCAGCACAACACACACTCATAACAGACCTCTCACACAAACATCTTTCACATAGTTTCTGCCTACACTTACAGAATACAGGAAAGTGAGATGAAAGCAATCTCAAACGAAGGCAGAAGACACGGGCTATGGAGGCAGTGGGCTGAGATAGGAAGTGCTTAGGAAAAAGGAGAGACAACCCAGGTCGGCGGGTGATGCTCAGAGGTGAATCAGTGGCTGGTGCTGATGTGGGGTGTTTCCCTCAGTCACCACCAGTTGCTGTTCCTCCAGAAGCCACACAGACGGGACAGGTGACCAGCAGCATGCCAGCTCAAAGCAGCATTTCAGATTGTCCAGTTTGCTCAGCCCCAGCACCACTGTCAGGGCCAGAGGGACAGCAGAAGGTAAAGAACAGACCGACACGGAGATGGATGGGGAAACTGGGTACCAGCTCTGACTCTGGCACACACCATGATGCCCTCTGCTCCATGGTTGCCTGTAAAATGTAAGAACAGATAAAAACACACACATACACACACACACACACACACACACACACACACACACACTCCAGGCTTCCTTCTTGTTTTCTAAGTCCCTATTCTGAAAAAAAAAAAAAAGGAAACTAGGGTCAGAAGCAGATCTCCAAAGCCTGACGTCCATAACCTTGGGGATGGTAGCAGCTGTTCTGATTATTGAAAGCAACTTGCTGGAAGTATCTGTAAGCTTCTTGGAGTGGATGAGGCCTCCAAAGGCCACCCGGCCCTGACATCCCAGAGCCTTGCCAGGACCGCAGGCAGCCAGGGCGGCTGAGCTTGGCGTGCTGGGCACACCGCTGCCCCTTGAGGAAACCACTCACTTTCTCTGGACTTGCCAGCCCATTCTGCCTCCGCTGGGTCTTGGGCAAGAACCACCCCCCTCCCTGTCCTTAGGGTGCAAGGAGGGAAGATCTTAACGTGATCACATCCGGCACTGCAGAGACTGTGAGGCATGCAATGAGCCGTGTGAGTGTCTGGATTGGAACTGGCGGGGGAGAGGGACAGGGAAGCAAAGAAAGCCGGGAAGGCGGGGATGATGGTGCAGAGAGGAGAGCAGATTCATCTGTGAAATTGCAGCGACACCAGCGAGGGGCTCTGAGTTAAGTACCAGGACTAGGGACCACTCCTCAGAATCTTGTCCTTGCATAGGAGAACGGCAAAGTATTCCAGTGAAGGCAGCATCTGGGCTCAGGAGTTTTTTCCCTCAGGCAAAGTCTCAGTCCCTCGGAGCAGCCTGGAAGACAGTCTACCTCCCCTGCCCCCCTGGAAGCCATGAGGACAGAATCTCTGTTTTCTTTTGCTAATGGCATTCCTCCAGAATAAACAGACATGTCAGGCTGGCTCTTCAGACTGGATTTTCTTCAACTGTAGGCAGCCAGACAGCTCTTCTCCTGCCCTCTGGCCGGCCTCACCTAGGGCAGCCCCTGGAAAGCTGGCCACATCCTGCCCCCCACCCCCTCCTCCATAAAGGCCCCCAACATCCTCACCTTCCCCGGGTGGCTCCAGGTGCAACCTGAGGGCTGGGCAGAGGGGTCGAGGATCCGGCATCTCCTCTCCCTTCGCCTCCAATCCGGACAGTCAGACCTCAGCCTCACAGTCCGTTCCCCCCAAACACCCAGACTCCCCTCGGCCCCAGACCTCCAGCCCTCATCCCCCCGCTTCCATCTTCTGTGATGCGTCCACGTGGCTCTCTTCCTCCCTCTCGGTCTCAGCCTGCATCCAGCCCCTCCACCATCTGCCCAGGGGTGGCATCACAGCAAGAGGGGTAGGGTCTTCTGTGTCCTCG